TATATTTATATATATTATACATATAAGGCATCAGCACAGTTACTAATAAATTAGCACAACTGTCACATATGGAATGTGAAGTACTCAAGTTACCCATTAGATGGAGCAATGAACTGAGCTAAGCCAAAATGAGACTCGTTAATAGTGTGGTATCAATCGGGGATGTGTGGCCAAATAGTGGTTGGATTACATGAGGGAAAAACTTGCTGTCAGCAGCATCCAGCATAGTTTAAGTGAGCAGTTACAGCTTTACTGTCAATACATTTAGCAGTCCAGCTATGCATAAGAGATTTAACACCACCTTTTCATCCTGTTTGATTTTTACACTTTTAATTATTTTTAGTTGGTAATTTCACAAGCAATCAACTTAGCTTATTTAATTACTCTGCTCGACCTATGACAGTCTTTGATACTGTTATAGAGCTGGGAGCAGTACTTCTCACATTTCTGAGTTCAGCTCACTTTTTTATAAATAAACTTTTTTCCCAGGGCAGAAATGACTATTACGAGGGGGCATAATTTTCAAGTGACTGAAGGAAGGTATAGGGGAGATGTCAGAGGCGGGTTCTTTACACAGAGAGTGGTGGGTGTGTGGAATGCACTGCCAGAAGAGGTAGTGGAGTCAGATACTTCAGAGACTTTTAAGCGACTCTTGGATAGGCACATGGAGGATAGTAAAATGCAGGGTATGCAGGGTAGATTGATCTTAGTAGGATAATAGGTCAGCACAACATCATAGGCCGAAGAGCCTGTACTGTGCTGTACTGTTCTTTTTTCTATGTTTGTTGTTTTCCAACCATGTCCTGACGGTTTCAATCAGTAAGCAGTGAAAGCAGTCATAGCGAGAGGATCAGGTCAAGTTCACGGGTTGAGTTCCCTGGGACAACTAAACAGCATCAGGGATCCAGGTGGGTAACAGGCCAAGGAGGGAAGGGGTCACATGGTGGTCACTTTTTAATTGGAAGGAGCTGCTAAAAATGCAAAAAATGTTTGAACTTCTTATTTATAACTACAGAGAAGGTTCAGGAGGAACTGGGAGAGACTCAACTTCACTAATCATTATACGTATTGCAATGTGAAGCATAACTTACCTTGAGTCACAAATGGCCCCTAGGGTGGCATGATGGCTCAGTGGTTAGCACTGCTGCCTCACAGCTCCAGGGACCTGGGATCGATCCCACTCTTGGGCAACTGTCTGTGTGGAGTTTGCACGTTCTCCCTGCATATGTGTGGGTTTCCTCCGGGTACTCCAGTTTCCTCCCACAGTCCAAAGTTGTGCCGGCTAGGTGGATTGGCCATGCTAAATTGTCCATAGCGTCTAGGGGCGTGTAAGTGAGCTGGATTAACCATGGGAAATGCAGCATTATAGGGATAGGGTGGGATGCTCTTTGGCGAGTCATTGTGGACTTGTTGGGCAAAATGGCCTGTTTCCACACTGTAGGGATGCTATGATAAACATTTAGCACAGGTAGGTTTAAGTTTGATATGCTAAACAGACATGATGAAATTAGTGTTACAATAAGCAATGATTAAAGGTGATCAGCAGGAGATGCATGTGGGTAAAACACTTTCAATATGTTAGATTATCACCTTGTCAAAGATATGTAGCTAAGTTTTTAACAGGACCACTACTGAAAATCTTCCAGGCCCTGAGAAAAAGTAATTCTGCATTTATAATGTAATTTTTTAATATAGTAAGATTAATTCTGTATTCTGTCATGGATGTAGGCATACGGCAAGGCTTGGATTTGATCCTCTGATTAACTTGGTTAATTACTTTCGAACAAAGTTATTTGCTTGGCCATTACAGGAAGCAGTGAAGAGTTAACCACAATGTTGCAGCTTGAAGTCACAAGTACGCCAGATCAGGTAGAATTCCTTTCCCAAAGCAGATTAGTGAACCAGATGGGTTTTTACTTAAGTCAATCTGAATTATTATCATTGCCATTGTTAAGATGAGCTTTACATTATGGATTTATTAATTGAATTTAAATTTTAACAGCTGCTATGGGAGGATATGAAACTGGACTGCTAAAGCATTAGCCAGGGCCTCTGGATTACTTGTCCAATGATATAATCACTCTGCTATCATCTTCCCATAAATTTTTCCACCTTTCTAATGCTATTTCAACTTGTAATGTCTTAACTTTTTTATCACTCTCTGCAAAACTTATAAACTTTTAAATACAATTTTAAAAGAGTTTACCTTCATTCTCTCACCATCTTCAAACACAATAAAACCTTGTGTAGGTTTCAGGTCAAGCAATGCGTCTGAGCCATTCATACTTGTGACAATATATTTAACAGTCACCATTCCAAATGTCCCCAGTGGTGGGTTCCGTACAATGTGCAGTATTGCAACACTCTCTGATAAACCAACGGCAGTTGGCTCCTTGAGGAAGAAGTGCTCAGTGTTGTTGAATGATAGAATCCCATGTCCATCATCATTGGCAAAAATGGTTACTGTGACTGTAATAACAATAGTGAATTATAACAGTTGTCCATTTGGGTTAAGGCATCTGTTCCAAAAGTGTTATATCATAATCCTTCAGCTGGTCTAAGGGACTGCAATTGTTTCATCATAAAACATGCACCAAAATTAATTTTGTGTACATTGCTCACACCGCTAATAGGAAAGACAGTAAATCAATAATAGAGACAACAAGGTGCAGGGCTGGATGAACACAGCAGGCCAAGCAGCATCATAGGAGCAGAGAGGCTGACGTTTCGGGCCTAGACCCTTCTGGGTAACAGTAGAAATGTACTCTACAAGATTGGTAACAAAAACTATGCACAAAATTTCAACATCTATTATTTCAAGAAAGTAATTGATTTCATTTTTTTGATCTTTAAACTGTAAGTTAAATAATTTCACCTGAATATCCTGAATATGTTTGTTGCTCATATAGAAATAGAAATAGGAGCAGGAGTAGGCTGTTGGCCCGTTGAGCCCAAACATGATCATCCAACTCAGTACCCTGTTCCATTTCATCCCCATATCCTCTTGAGTCCTTTAGCCCCAAGAATTATATCTAACTCCTACTTGAAAAGAAACATGATTCCAACCAAGGGTACTCTTATTAAAAATTTTAATTTTATTGTATGTGCTGACTCTCATTTACAAATGATCAATATTTGCATACCATTCCACAAATTTGTAACAGATACAATGCACTTTCTGCAGTGTCAAAGCAACTAAATTTCATTGGTATATAGTTTATCCTGTTAGGTTTTTTTATTCATTCATGGGATATTAGCATCACTAGCTGCCAATATTTATCATCCATATCTAAATGACCATGAGAAGGTGGTGGTGAACTCTTGAACTCTTGAAAGCTATGCCATCATGCAAGTAGGAAGGGAGTTCCAGGATTTTGGCACAACGACAGTGAAGTAAACATGATATATCTCCAAGTCAGAATATTGAGTGGCTTGAAAGGGGACTTGCAGGTGGTGGTATCCTATGCATCTGTCCTTGTCCTTAATATGTGTTGTGGTCATGGGTTTTGGAAGGTGCTGTTGACAGAACCTTGGAGAGTCACTACAGTGCATCCTGTAGATGATACACACTGCTGCCACTGTGCATCAGTGGTGAAGAGAGTGAAGGTTGAAGGTAGTGAATGTCAATCATGCAGACTGCTTTGTCCTGGAATATTTACAATCAACCAGGCAAGTGGGAAATATTCCATCACATTCCTGACTTTTCCCATATGGCAGCAGACCCTGGTGAATTAGGTCAGTTATCACCACAGAATTCTCTGTCTCTGGCCTGCTTTTGTCATTCAACCTTAGAAACCTTAAACTCTCAGACAGATAAAGAGATTACATTCTCCAATTTGAGATATTACATGCATTCATTCTTTCTTATAGAGGTTTATGTACTTAAAGTAATGGTAAAAGGAATTTGACGCTAAGTGCCTCTAAACTAATTCTCCAAGTTGTGTCACTAGTGACCAAACAACAATTGTACTTTAATGATGTGGAAGTCCTTGTGATTCACCAAGGCAAGGAGTTCATCTGAGACAACGTGCAAAGCGACACAGGCAGAGGTACCATGGATTAAGGAACCTGGGAAAAGTTCAGCTCTGAATACAATGGCAAATGACAGACAGAATAATGCTACAGCCATCTTGTGACAGGCTTGGAGAACCAGGAGGTATACAAGTTCACAATGGCAATGAAATTAACTGCAACAAACAATGTAATGCCCCCTGCAGCAGGTGGCTACATGACTTGATCTCAGACGTGACATGCTGACCAGCTTCCAATGGAGAATGATTCACCCTTAATTATTTATCAGTAAAGAACTGCAGGCATGGTGTCTTGAGACTATAACTTGAGTTTTTGATGAGGTAATGGAAAGTTAGTGAAGATAATGCTATTGATGTGGTATACATGGACTTTCAAAAGGCATCCTGGGCTTTATCAATGGAGTACAAGAGCAGGAAAGTCATGGATAAAACATTGATTTGACCTTAACTGTAGTCTTCCATCCAAAGCCCACTGCAGTTTAGGAATGACGTGAAGATATTAGAGAGAGTGCAGAAATGATTGGCTAGCATGGTTCCAGGAATGAGGAACTTTGGTTAAGTAAAAAGATTGGAGAACGTGGGTTTGTTCTGCTTTAGAGAGGAGGTGTTCAAGAAAAGATTTGATAGAGATAATGCAACTCATGAGGGATCCGGGCAGAGTAGACAGGGAAAACCTATTCCCATTTGCGGAAGAATCAAAAGCCAGAGGGTACAGATATAAGGTAACCGATAAAAGTTACCACGGCAAAACAAGGATTAAGATTTTCACACATCATGTGGTAAGGATCAGGAATGCACTGCCTAGGTGTGTGATGAAGGCAAGATAAATTGAAGTTTTCAAAGGATCACCAGAGGTAGCATTTGCAGGTCTATGAGGAAAAGACACACACATGAGATGAACACAAGAATTAGGGGTAGGTGTCGGCTCTTTGGCCCTTCAAACTTGCTCTACATTCCAAAAGATCATAGTTGATTTGACGGTGGCCTTAACTTCACTTTCCTGTTTACCCACATAAACTTTGACTCTCTTATTGATCAAATACCTCCCTTGAAAATTTTCAGTGACCCAGCCTCCACTGGGGTGGAAAATTCCACAGACCAATGGTCCTCTCAGAGGGAAAAAGAACTCCTCACCTGAGTCTTAAATTGGATGCTCCCAACTGATTAAACATGGTCCCTTAGTTCTAGAGTCCCCCAAAAGGGGAAACATCCTCTCAGCACCCACCCTTTCAAGTTCCCTCAGGATCTTGTGTGTTTCAATAAGATCACTTCTCATTCTTCTCAACACACATTGGACGTAGGTCTAACATACTCAATGGTTCTTTATGAGACAAAGCCCTTCATGCCACAAATCAGTTAAATTAATTTTCTCTGAACTTTTCTAAAGTGATTATATCCTTTCTTGGGCAGGGAGACCAAAACTGTACTTCAGCTGCATTCTAACTACTTCTGTTTTTGCTTCAGCTGTGTCAACATCACAACCCAGAGACTTTTTCCTAGGGCAGAAATGACTATTACGAGGGGGCATAATTTTAAGGTGATTGGAGGAAGGTATAGGGGACATGTCAGAGGCAGGTTCTTTACACAGAGAGTGGTGGGCATGTGGAATGTGCTGCCGGCAGCGGTAGTGGAGTCAGATACATTAGAGACATTTAAGCGACTCTTGGATAGGCACCTGGATGATAGTATAATGTAGGGTATGCAGGGTAGTTTGATCTTAGTAGGACTTAGTAACACAACATTGTGGGTTGAAGGGCCTGTACTGTGCTGTACTGTTCTATGTTCTATGTTAACTAATACCAATATTCTGCCAACAATTTTCTTGGCTGTGCGAGCTAGCCAATTGACGTAGAAGATAGGAACAGGAGCAGGCTATTCAACCCTGCTCTGTCATTCAATGTGATCATAACTGATCGAGCTCAATACCCTAATCCCACCCTGCCCCCATAGCCCTTGATCTCTTTCACCACAAGAGGCATATCTACCTCCTTTTAGAAAACACAATGTTTTGGCCTCTACTGCTTTCTGTCATAGTGAACTCCTCTGGCTCACCAAGCTCTGGGTGATGAACTGCTTTCTCATCTCAGTCCTAAAATGTTTACCCCTTATCCATAAATTTGGACCTCTGATTCTGGACTCCCTCAACACTGGGGACGTCATTGCTGCATCCGACCTGTCCTGTGCTTTTAAAATTTTATAGGTTTCTATAAGATCATCTCATCATTCTTCAGGCTACAGTGAATACAATCCTAACCAACTCAATATCTCCTCATATGTCGGTCTTACCATCCCAGAAATCAATTTAGTAAACCTTTGCTGCACTCCCACTATAGCAAGAACATCTTTCTTCAGATAAGGAGACCAAAACTGCACACTATAATTGTTTGGTCAGATAATGAAAATTTTTAAATGGAAATAATCTGAAGACGGTTTCAAGTGATGGAGCTGAAAATATTTCCTTTGACAGTTTGCTCTCCTGTGGGATTTTCTTTGGGAGAAAAGTTTATTGATATACATTGCAGGAAAAAATAGTCTTTGTAATTTGTGTGGATGGTTACCTTGTGTTTGGCTTGCCACAGGGTACTTGTCCTCCTTTGATGTGGTGATTCCCATTCCAAATCTTTCATCAAGTATGTGACACTGATGTATTCCCAAACTGACTAGTGCAGCATGTCTCTGGATCACTTCAATCTTATTTATATCTCTCCACGTACAAGGATCCTATTATAACAATAACTTGCAGATTTGGACAACCAAATGTTTGGGAAACTATAGCATTGTTATTTTTGCTGCAATACCTAAGATTCCTCCTCAGAAATCTGAGAAATTGGTTGCTTTGGATGCTACCTGCTGAATTTGTTTTTACAATTGACCACCAGGCAAGGATGTGCATCTAACTGTTGGGGAATTAGGTTACAGAACTGGTGGTAGATTCCTTTAGCTGGTAATGTACATAACGTAACATTTATTGGCATTGAATGTCATCTGCATTAGTCCTGCCAAAGATCAAATGTCTTTTTACAAATTTTTAATGTCTTTTTAATGTCTTTTTACAAAGTACAACACATTCACATGTTCCCTTGATTCCACCTTGTTTGTTACTCTCAAAGCTCTCTACTAAATTAGTCAAACACGATTTCCCTATCACAGAACTATGTTCACTCGTCTTGATTATATTATGATTGTCTAAATGGATTCCAGCATTACCACTGTGATGCAATGTTAGGTTAACTAGCCTATAGCTCTCTGCTCTTTGTTTCCCACCTTTCCAGAAGCAGTGTTCCATTTGCGATTTTCCAATTTGCTGTGACCTTTTCAGAATCCAGGGAATTTTGGAAGATAGCAATCAATGCTTTCTCCTATCTCTGCAGTCACTTCTTTTAAGTTCCTACGATACAGGTGATCAGTTCCTGAGGACTAGAATGCCTTTAGCTCTTGAAAGTTTTCACAGAACCCAGCAAGTGAAATGCTTCTTCAGATGATAGCAGAGGCATGACAGGCCAAATGGCCTCCTTCTGTAATTATCCTGTGCTTCTATGAAACTGTGTCAGGACAGTACAAATTCCTGGGAGCTTTCTTCCATCTAACTGCTTTCTCTGCAGGTGCAGTCTTCTTTGTCACTGCCTCTTGCCACTGCTGCATCAGTTCTGAAGAAATTCTGTTCAGACTTGAAACAATATCACTGCTTTTTCTTTCTCTCCACAAATGCTGCCAAACCTGCTGAGTTCCTCCAGCATTCCGTGTGTTTGTTACTGTTCCATCTTGTTATCCTCCTCCCTTTACCAGAATGGGAATGATGGGAACGAACTCCTCAATAACTGGAAGTCCCGTTAACCTTTATAAAATCTACATTCACAATGAGACTTATGAACTGATCTAAAAGCATTGTACAAAACAGGATTCTCTTGAAACAACAAGGAATTTGATGTCTTAAAGGGAAGTGGCTTCAGTGTTGAACCCAAATGAACCATTACCTACTTCCAACCAGTCTTTAATTTTAACTTTATTTCCTCTTCTGACCAATTTTCAATTGAATATTTTATCATTTCTTAATCAGAAGACCATAACCCTCTCTGATAATTTCCCATGCAATCCATTTTCAGGGGCTCACATTTCATCCATGTACATTATATTAAATACATTTCCACCAGTTACCAGGCCTGTTGTTTTGTGATTTTTAATTATGAATTACAGCAAAATGTCATGCACTCCAAATAATTTTCCACATATTAAATAAACTAACATGCACACATTTTGGATATAGATATTCGCACAGCCTCAGAATAAAGGGGCACCAATTTAAGATGAGGAGGAAATTCTTCTCTCAGAGGGTTGAGAGTCTTTGGAACGCCTTGCCACAGAGAGCTGTGGGGGCAGAGTCCCTGTAGTATATTTAAGGCTGAGATGGGTAGATTTTTTGTCTGTAGTAGAATCAAGTGTGATGGAGAAAGGGCAGAAAATTGGATGTGAGGAATGTTGGCTCAGCCATGATCCTAACGAATGGCAAAGCAGGATTGTGGGGTTGAATGGCCTACTCCTGTTCCTATTTCTTATGATCTTCGTTTAGATGCATTATCTCATTGTCTGTAGCCTTTTGTATATAGCATTTCTTTTTTTTACCTGTGGTTCTTTCTCCTAGTTCTAGTCCAAAAGACGGATTGGTGAGAACCAGCTGGAAGGCTTCATCACTTTCTGGAATATCATCATCAAGAACTGTAACCTCAAGGAATTTGTATCTCTCCCCATCAGCAAAAAAAATCCACTGTGAATTCAAGAGAAATAAATTATGATGAAGTGTCAAAATCACTTACAGCAGCCACAGAAAAGACACAGGGCAGCTATTTCAGATCTTGCCGAGGTTAGCAATAAAGTCAGACAGGGCTCAAGGCACTGGAACCAGCCAATGTGTTGATGTTCTGACTTTATTCCTAGAATTGGGCATGAGGAGACCAGCCATATGCAAAAGGGATTCCCATTCTCTCAGTAGTGGTCTGAACTGCATTATGAATCCTTGAAAAAGCAACTCAGAGCAAAATCTAAGCTAACGATTTCTAAGGCAGCAAAATTTGTATCTTTGCGTTGAACACAATTCTTCATAACTTTGGTCAGACGCATGCTTATGGAGAGGAGTAGTGGCACTATCACTTGACTAGAAATTGAAAGTTCTAGAAACATATTCTCTGAACATGATTCAAATCCTGCCATGGTAGCAGATGGAATTGAAATTGCTAGCAAAACCAGGAAGGCTGAATGGAAATAGATTGGGAAAGGGGAAAGCGGAATGGGACCTGGGCATCCCAGTACACCAGTCACTGAAGGTTAGCATGCAGGTGGTGAAGAAAGCAAATGGTATGTTAGCCTTCATAGTGAGAAGTTTTGAGTACAGTAGCAGGGATGTCTTGCTGCAATTATACGGGCCTTGGTAAGACCAGAGCTGGATAACTGTGTGCATTTTTGTCTCTTTATCTGAGGAGGGATGTTTTGGAGGGTGTGCTGGATGCCATATTTTGGGAAAGATGCACAGCAAAAATTCACACGACTGTTTTCAGGCATTCCAACTGTTGGGATTGTTTTCCTTGGAGAAGAAATTTTGATAGAGTGGTTGATATAGATTTCCAAAATCATCTGGGATCTGGGAAGATGAGTAAACCTGTTCGCATTGGTGAAAGTGTTAAGAACAAGAGGGCACAGATTTAAGTTAATTGACAAAAGAAGCAATGGAGGCATGAGGAGGACTTTCTTTTCATTCAGCAAGTAATTGGAATATGGAAGGCACTGTCTGAGAGTGTGATGATAGAAGGGTTGATTGAAGCATTCAAGAAGGCATTGGATTGGCATCTGAAAAGGAAGAATGTGCAGGAATACAGGAAGAAGATGGAAAGGTGGCACTAGACAAACTGCTCTTCAGAGAGTGAGTACAAGCCAAATGGCCGCCTTCTATATTGGAATAATTCTTTGATAATGTGTGGACAGAGCAACATTGCAGCCTACACATAGAATGCGCTTATTAACATGAAACACATTCAGGTCCTGTATAACCAATGAGATTAAGAACGGCCTTCAAAATAAAAGACAAGCAAATTGCAGTTAACCAGACATCCAAAATCACTGGTTAAAGATTTGGAACTCTGCTTCAACAAGCCATTTAAACAGCATGTCCTTATTGAATGAAACAGATTAATGGTTGACAAGAAAAAAGACCTTCACAAAGAGCAGAACTCTGTTTTTTATGTTGCTTCACCCCATATTTTGAGTAGTTTCATCATCAAATCATGCCGTACTATAAATGTACAAAGATCATTCAGGAAATATGGAATATCTAATTCAATAGATGAAGAGAAAGGTGATTTGTTGCACAGGGAAGATTATGAAACTGAAATCATCACATCTGATCTGGAGAGAGGTCCTCACGGTTATACCACAGGCAAAGTGACTCAGAATGAATTCAATTAATTTATACACATTGACAACACAGAATGAGGCTAGTCAGCCTATTGTGACCAAAAAATCTGACCACACAAATCTCATTCTTCAGCTTTTGGGAATACCACTCGAGGCAATGGCATCGCAACTGAATATCTACATACAGCTTAAATGTTACAAGAGTTTTTAACTCGACCACCCTTTGAGGCAGTGCATTCCAGACTCCCATCACTTTCCATTAAAACAAATTTTCCTCAACTCTCCTCCTAACCTTCTACCTCTTACCTTAAATATATACACCAAGGCTACTGACCCCTCTACTAATGGAAAAAATGTCTTCCTGTCCACCTTGTCTATGCCCTTCATAATTGTATATACCTCTGTCAAGTCCCTTCTCAACCTTCACTGCTCCAGGAAAATAACACCAACCTATCCAATCTTTCCTCATAGCTCAGACCCTCCAGTCCAGGCAGTATCTTGGTAAATTTCCCCTGCATTCTCTCATGCAGTTGTATCCTTCCTCTATGTGGTGATCAGTATGCAATTCTCCTATTGGACCTAACCCACATTTTCTGTAGTTCCAGCACAACCTCCTTGATGTTGGATTCTATATTTTGCCGAATAAAGGTAAGTATCCTTGGTGCCTTCCTAACCATTTACCTACAGACCTTGTTATCTTCAGGGATTTGTGGAAGGCAAAATGGCTCCCTCTTGTATTCAGTCCTTTCCAGGGTTCTACCTTTTCATAGTGTAACCAATTGCCTTGCTAGTCCTCCTTTACGTCAGAATCCAAAAATGATGGCTGGACATTGAAAGCCACTGCCAAGTGTGTTCTTGATTGGGTGGCAGGATGGAAGAGACACACAAAATAGACTGGGTGTTGAGCCCATCATTTTATCACCCACCTCTGAGCTTAACTCCATAAGCACAATCTGATTGGTTGGCAGAGGATGGGGCCTCCACCCAACGAGGGCTGATATCCTAATCTTCACTATATTGCCCACCAAAGCACATAATGGCTGTGGAGAAGTCTCATTCTCAGTCTGTCAGCTCCCAGTCGGATATCCATTCAGGGGCCAGAGAGTTTACCATTACATGACAATAAAATGAATTAATTTTAAAACAAATGCTGTGCCACTGGCATTAATGTTTTTCATATTTCTAAATAATGACCATGAACATTTTAGACTGACTCAGCTCCCCTTTATTTTTGGAAGGATTTTTGGAGGCTTCTAAAGTTGACACGCATGCTGCAATCCATGGTACATAAAGTGTGTAAATATGTAAAATTTCCAAGAAATTATGATCATTATAATTTTAGTTTTAACTTGCCAACACTCTGGGAGCATGTTTTTCTTATGATTTTTTCCACCATTAGGTAACCCAGAAGTCTGTGTCTAACTCCTTAGCGTTGGGACCTGCCTGGCAGACAAGCATGGCTTCCAGTTAGACCAGAACACACTGAAGGAGATAAGAGGATTTGTTACGCTCAATCTCCAACATTTGGGAGGAGGAGTGGAAGGGATGTCTAATCCCTGATCCTGAGGATATGGGGTTTGATCCCCAACCCTCAATGTAGAGATAATGTGACCGCCAAGTTATAGCAGCAATAAAGTTTGAATCTGAGGTTTCCAGACTCATTAAAATTCCAATAAGCCTGCCTTGCGCTGTCTTTTCCCTCTGCCCTGCGTTTGGGCAATGCTAACTTTAGACAGCATATTTCAGTGGAAAATCAATCCTAATATTTTAAGTTACAACTTTACATGCTGAAGTTTTCTAAAATGTAATCACGAAATCACTTCTTACCATTGGTGTCACATTGAAATCCTGTCCCAATTGAGCTTCTAGATTCTGAACATCGTAAAACAGAGATACATTCCCATATGCACCCCCATCTCGGTGTATCACCAAGGTTAGGTTTTCAGTGGTTTCATTCACCTCAAAGCTTATAGGGAAAAAAAAATGAAAAGTTATCCATGAAATAAAACATTTCAACAGCACAGCTTTAGAAATTGCATGCCTTAATCATTAGGGAACTTCTCTATTGCCTTTAAATTATAAAATCTGATCACAGGAATCAAACTGAGCAGATGGAGCTGAGAAATAATTCCCTGCACTCCTTTCACTTCTCATCTTAAGTAAAGTGAGGAGACTGTATAAAGTAACTGGTCACTTAATACTGCAAGGCATCGGCATATTAACTTCAAAGCACTGATTTCAACTTATGCATGTTTCACATTTGATTTTTAAGATTGAAATTTAAAAAAAACATACAATGTGGCAAAGATTGGACCGAGGACTGGGCAAATTTTAAAAACCAACAAAAGTCAACCAAAAGAATAAAAAAGGGAGGAGATACATTTTAGGGTAACCTTGCAAATAATATCAAGATGGACAGCAAAAGCTTCTTTAAATATGGAAAGGGAGAGAGAAGTCAAAGTGAACATAGGCCCCTTAGAGACTGAGGTGGAGAAAGAGTAATGGGGAATCAGGAAATGGCAAAGTAATTGAATAAATACTTTGCATTAGTCCTCACATTAGAAGATACTAATAGCATCCTTAGATTATGAAATATTCAAGGGACAAATCGGCAGGAAATAAATACAATCTTTATCACTAGAAAAAAAGGCGCTAGTGTGAATAAGGGGGCTAAAGACTAATAAGTCCCCCAGTCCTGATGAGATGCATAATGGTATAATAAGGACATATCCACAGAAATAGAGGAGACACTTGTAATAATTATCCAGAAATCCTTAGATTCTGGAACAGTCCCAGAGGGTGGGAAAACTCTCAAGGTAAGGAGACAAAAACAGATAACTTATAGGGCAGAGAAAGCAAGAGCTGCAGATGCTGGAGTCAGAGATAACAAAATGTGGAGCTAGAGGAACACAGCAGGCCAGGCAGCAATAGAGGAGCAGGAAAGCTGAGGTTTTGAGTCGGGGCCCTTCTTCAGAAAAGGGTCCTCACACGAAACGTCAGCTTTAACTTATAGGGCAACCAGCTTAATGTCTGTTATTGGGAAAGTATTAGAGTCTATTATAAAGTATGTAATAGCAGAGCATTAGAAATACAATATATGATCAAGCAGAGTCAGCATGATTTCAAAGGAGAAATCATGCCTGAAAAACGTAATAGATTTCTTTGAAGAGATTTCTAGCAGGGTAGATAAAGGGGAAGCTATGGATATAATTTATTTGGGTTAACAGAAAGCATTTGATAATGTATTACCCATTAGATTACTGAATAAGATAAGAGCCCATGACATAACAGGTAGTATATTAGCATGAATATAGGACTGGCTAATTGACAGAAGACAGAGTTGGAATAAGAAGGACATTATTAGGCTGGGAACCTGTAACTAGTGCTGTGCCAACATTCAGTGCTGGGGCCACAATTATTTACAAGATATATTAATGACTCAACTGAAAAACGTGAATGTACTATTGCCAAGTTCGCGGATGGCACAAAAGTAGGTTAAAAGGCAAGCAGTGAGTCTACAGAGCTTTATTGACAGACTGTGTGTGTGGACAAAATTTGGCAAATAGAATATAATGGGTGGAAATGTGAGTTTACAGATTTTGGCAGGAAGAATAGAAGCTGCAGATTATTTAAATGGAGAAAGACTGCAGAATGCTACAAGCAGAGGGGTTTGGGAGTGCTTGTTCATGAACCACAGGAAGCTAGCATCCAAGTTGTGCAGGAAATAGGGAAGGCAAATGGAATGCCGGCCTTTTTTTCCGTAGAATCCCTACAGTGTGGAAACAGGCCATTTGGCCTAACAGGTCCACATTGACTCTCCAAAGAGCATCCCACCCAGACTCAACCCGTACCCTATTCCTGCATTTCCCATGACCAATCCACCTAACCTGCACATCTTTGGACTGTGGGAGAAAACCAGAGCACCTGGAAGAAACCCACACAGACACAGGGAGAACGTGCAAACTCCACACAGACAGTTTCCCGAGGCTAGAATTGTATCCGAGTCTTTGGCGCTGTGAGGCAGCAGTGCTGATCAGTGAGTCACTGTGCCACCCATTTCAAAGGTAATGGACTATAAAACTAAGTAGGTTTTCCTAAAACTGTACAAAGCACTAGTCAGAGTACCGCTGGAATACCGTGAACAATTTCGGGCCCTGTATATAAGGAAAGGTATATTGGCATTGGCAATGTTCACTAGACTGATACCAGGCATAGTGGAACTGTCTTATGAGGAGATGTTGACCTATATACGATGGATTAAAGAAGAATGAGAGGTGATCTTATTGAAACATGCAACATTCTTGAAGGACTTGGGAGGGTACATGTGGAAAGGTTGTTTCTCCTTGTGGGTGAGTCGAGGACCAGAAGGCATAGTCTAAGAACAAGGGGTCACACATTTAAGAATTTTTACTCTCAGTGGGTTATGAATTGGTGGAATTCATTCCCACAGAGGGCTGTGGAGGCCAGGTCACTAAGCATATTCATGGTTGACACAGACAGATTTTCAATCAGTACGGGAATCGGGGTTATGAGGACAAGGCAGAAAGTGAACTGAAAATTTTATCAGATCAGACATGTTCTCATTGAATGGTGGAGTACACTCATTGGGCTGAATGGCTACCTCTGCTTCTATCTCTTTTAGTCTTAAAAGAGTCAATCAAAACATTTCATTTATCCACTACAGTAGAGATATTTCTTCTTTTACTGTGGCTGCAGGTGATTTTGGGAGATGAATTAGTTTTAAGATATGGAAAGCTTCTGTCCCCTTGTGGGACAGTCTAGGACTACAGGGCATAATCCCAGCAACAGGGATTGCATATTTAAGACAGCGATGAAGAAGAATTTCTTCTCAGATGATGGAGTCAATCTGTGGAATTCTTTAGCACAGAGCCTGGCCAGGCTAGGTTATCTATGTTCTAGACTGAAATAGATTTTTAAATAGTAAAGGAATCAAGGGTTATGGGGAAGAGACAGGAAAGTGAAGTTGAGGATTATCAGATCAGCTAATGATTTCATTGAATGGCCTAACAAATTCAATGGCTGAATGGCTACTTCTTCCCTCACATCTTATTGTCTTAGTATGGAATTAACTTCAAAGTTAACAATAGTAAATTAAGCTAATATTAATTCATAACAATTCACAAATCAACACATAATTTTTTTATTAACTAGTAATATATGTTCATATTATTGATTAAACTCTTACTTAATGCTGTGCCACTGAATGGTGCCTTTTATACCATCATTTGCATCAATAGTTATCTGGGAAACTTGACCTGCAGCATCTGGAAATTAAAACCGAACCTTTAAAACCATAGTGCATGATTGAACTTTAAAATCTAAAGATAGTAGGTGGTGCTGAAAGTACAAATGGAGAAAGCAGGCATATTTGGGTAAGGAGAGCATTACATGGAGATGGTAGGAAAAATGAGACAGGAAGTTGGATTCAGGACATGACTTTAAGTGCATATGAAAGGGCAATCAGGGTTAGATTTTACAATTTATTGATGAAAATCAAGGGATGGCAAAGGATACACTAAGGTACGGACAGACATTAAAAAGATCAATTCACTTTGAAAGAAATTAAAGTAACAGGCCAAAAGGCAAAGATGCATTTAAGTCAATTCATAGATAAATAGGAGAAGCAACAGAACATAGAAAGAATAGAAAATTATAGAAATACCCAGCAAGTTTGGCAGCACCTGTGCAGAGAGAAACAGAGTTAATATTTCAGGTTGTTGACTTTTCATCAAATAAATCAAAATAGGACCAATTTGGTGACAGTAACAACAGGAACCAATTTGGCAAACAGTAGATAAAAGAAGCCTAGTTCATAACAGGATCAAAGTTTGCCAAAACCACCGCTAGACAGCAAAAGCATTTAATCACATTTAAAGCCTGCTTGACAGGAACATTTAATTTTGTCCTATTGAACAATTAAATATGTAGATATATAAACACAGAATACACACCTAATCTAGGAGGGAAGCTGGTCAGATCATGTAAGAGGAGCTCAACAGATGTTAGATTCACAAGGAAGAACTCCTGCAACTCAGGAATGTCATCCTGCAAAAGGCATTTTTAACATAAAAGGCAAAAGCAACAATATATCTGGTCCAAAGTCAGATTCATCACAAAACTGCGTAATACATATTCTAAATCTTCGCGTTTTTTTTATTAAATCATAAAAAGCCTGCGAAAAAACATCTTAGTGAATGGCTTCTGTAATTTAATATTTCATTATAACAAAAGTCAGTAAGTCAGAACAGGGAAATTATTGGCTTATTACTGAACTTTGACTAAAAGCAAGTTACCAGAAGGGAAAACAGGACGAGTCATTTATATCTGAACACCATGATCTTCACTAAAGTATTTTGGGATGAGTAATTAATGATAGCTGAGACAGCAATGCCCACATCTCAATGAATAATAAAAAAATACAAGTCTTCCTCCAGTGTTCACAGGCAATTCGCTGGTTAGGAGTGAACATGAATACTGCAGCTATACTTTCACACCTTTCCCAGACCCACAAAAAAAATTAAAAGGCGAATTTAAAAGATGCAAATTTTCCCAAACAGCTGGAAGGAGTCCTGATAAGATTATTACCCATGAAACAATTTACTGCCTGGTGCAGACTGAATAAAATTTTCAAGCATGTGTTAGAAGAGTTACTTACATTATATAGAGAAGGTAGGCAGGATTTTTGGAGATATGTCCCAGTTATTTCTGACTCACGGAACTTGTTTAATTTCTTTTTGGGTTGAGAGATAAGTTTTCCAGTGGCTTTCATAAACCCCAGGCCTGCAACTATGTTGGCCTTAGTTTTGTTTTGTCTCTGTGTTTTGCCCCTCAGTGGATGTGAATCATGGTTAATATGAGTTGCATCATGATAATACAAAGTTGACTTGATGGGCAAACAACTACTTTTGTCTTTTTTTCTATTTTCTTTTTCCTTCAGAATTTAACAATGGTGATTAGTGAGATGTGAGCAAAGTTGGTCAGACTATCACTTATTGACTATCCACGAATGTCATTAGGAATAGGGCAGTGAGCAGGCACTTAGAACTGCTACAGTCCCGGTCGTGAAAATACACACACACTGTTTTTGCAAAGAGAGTTCCACGACTTTTACCCAAGGACGATGAAGAAGCAGCAATATATTTCCAAGCTAGGATGGTACAGCATGTGGAGGGATACACACAGGTGATGTCAGTACCATGTAATTTATTGGCCTCCTTCTTTCAGGAGATAATCTTTGCAAATTTGAAAGTTGCTAACAAAAGAGTCTTGGCAAGCTACTATACTGCATCTTGTGGATGGTGCACAGTGCTGTCTGTGGGCACCATCTGTGGATGGAGTGAATAGTTAAGGTGCAACACCTTTGGTCTGGATAGATTCAAACTTCTTGGGTTCTGTTGGAGCTGCACCAATCCAGGCAGCAAAGAATACGCAAACACAGTCCAGACTTGTTTCTTATAGATGGTGGGCAAGCACTGAAGGATGAGGAGCTGAGTTACTCAGATGTTCATACAAATGGGTAAGGTTTTACTTCATTCCACAAAGATTGGGTCAGGCACCATCATGAAGTCAATTCTAGCACTTCCCCTTAGGAAGAATATGTTGACCTCAGAGAAGGTCCAGCACAGATTCAGAATTATGTCAAGTCTTAAAAGGTTCTAATATGAACAAAGGTTGCATAAATTTAATCTGTTCTGTCTCAAGGACAGAAATGCTGTGATGATGCTGTTGAAATCTTTAAAATTATAAAGGCATGCAATATGGGTAGAGAGAGATAAAATAATAGAGTAAGGACATCTGACAATACAGATCAAAGGTGGCTGAATGAAGTTTACTGCAGAGCATCTCTGATCCAATTAAGTGATAGCTAAGGCTGGAGGAGCAGAATATACCGCACATGTTCCAGCATACTTGAGTTACTATTTAAGATGCAGCCAAATCATTTTAGTACAAGTCACCATATTAGCTTCTAGAGTAGCTCCACACTTACTAAGGTTACAGACAACATAGTTAAGTTAGTCACATGACATTATCAGCTGGCACAATTTTGTATTTTCTAGAAGGAACTCTGACTCACCTCTAAAATAGTGATGTTTATAACAGTTGTGGCTTCTCCTTCCTCCATAATAACAAAGTCAGAAACAGACAGAAAATCAAGTCCAGGCTCAGCCAGTGACTGTTCAATCAGGTTCACAGGTTGCAAAGATCCTTCAACTGTCTCAAATGTGATGTTAATTGCACCTTCATAATAAAAGAAATGATTATTCAAAGCAATCGACAGCACAGAAAACACAACAGCAATGTTTATTTCAAATGTATATTCAGAATTCAAATAAAATTGTAATATCTTTTTAAGAATTATTCCAGTGGAATAATGTGAAACTGACACCAAGGATTCAGGACTTAAGTAAGAACTTTCTTCATTTTCTTCAGGTTTCAGAGGGGAATTTATTTTTCATCAATTAACACAAAAAGTTTTATCTGTTTCAGAGATAGTAGGAACTGCTGATGCTGGAGAATCTGAGATAACAAGGTGGAGAGCTGGATGAACACAGCAGGCCAAGCAGCATCAGAGGAGCAGGAAAGCTGACATTTGGGTCTAGACCCTTCATCAGAAATGGGGGAGGGGAAAGGGGTTCTGAAATAAATAGGGAGAGAGGGGGAGGCAGATAGAAGATGGATAGAGGAGAAGATAGGTAGAGAGGAGACAGACAGGTCAAGGAGGCGGGGTTGGAGCCAGTAAAGGTGAGTGTAGGTGGGGAGTCAGGGAGGAGATAGGTCAATCCAGGGAGGACAGACAGGTCAAAGAGGCAGGATGAGGTTAGTAGGTAGGAGATGGGGGTGGGACTTGAGGTGGGAGGAGTGGATAGGTGGGAGGACAGGTTAGGGAGGCGGGTATGAGCTGGGCTGGTTTTGGGATGTGGTCAGGAGAGGGGAGATTTTGAAGCTTGTGAAGTCCACATTGATACCATTGGACTGCAGGGTTCCCAAGCGAAATATGAGATGCTGTTCCTGCAACCTTCGGGTGGCATCATTGTGGCATTGCAGGAGGCCCAGGATGGACATGTTGTCCAAGGAGTGGGAGGGGGAGTTGAAATGGTTCGCAACTGGGAGGTGCAGTTGTTTAGTGCGAACCGAGCGTAGGTGTTCCACAAAGCGGTCCCCAAGCCTCCGCTTGGCTTCCCCGATGTAGAGGAGGCCACAATGGGAACAGCGGATACAGTATACCACATTAGCAGATGTGCAGGTGAACATCTGCTTGATGTGGAAAGTCTTCTTAGGGCCTGGGATGGGGATGAGGGGGGAGGTGTAAGGGCAGGTGTAGCACTTCCTGCGGTTGCAGGGAAAAGTGCCGGGTGTGGTGGGGCTGGTGGGGAGTGTGGAGCAGACAAGGGAGTCACGGAGAGAGTGGTCCCTCCGGAAAGCAGATACGAGTGGGAGGAAAAAATGTCGTTGGTAGTGGGGTCGGATTGTAGACGGCGGACGCGTCGGAGGATGATGTGTTGGATCCGGAGGTTGGTGGGGTGGTACGTGAGGACGAGGGGGATTCTGTTTTGGTTGTTATTGCAGGGAGGAGGTGTGAGGGATGAGTTGCGGGAAATGCGAGAGACATGGTCGAGGGCGTTTTCGACCACTGTGGAGAGGAAGTTGCGGTCCTTGAAAAACGATGACATCTGGGATGTCCGGGAGTGGAATGCCTCATCTCGGGAGTAGATGCGGCAGAGGCGAAGGAATTGGGAATAGGGGATGGCCTTTTTGCAGGAAGGTGGGTGTGAGGAGGTGTATTCTAGGTAGCTGTGGGAGTCGGTAGGCTTGAAATGGATATCGGTTTCTAGGTGGTTGCCAGAGATGGAAACAGAGAGGTCCAGGAAGGAGAGAGAGGTATCCGAGATGGTCCATGTGAACTTAAGGTTGTGGTGGAAGGTGTTAGTAAAGTGGATGAACTGTTCGAGCTCCTCGTGGGAGCAAGAGGCAGCGCCGATACAGTCAGTGATGTAATAGAGGTAGAGGTGGGGGATAGGGCCAGTGTAGCTTTGGAAGAGGGATTGTTCCACGTATCCTACAAAGAGGCAGGCATAGCTTGGGCCCACGCAGGTACCAATGGCCATCCCCTTTGTCTGTAGGAAGTGGCAGGAATTGAAAGAGAAATTGTTAAGGGTGAGGACCAGTTCGGCTAAGCGGATGAGGGTGTCAGTGGAGGGGGACTACCAAAGACATTTTCCCTCCCCACCCTTATCTGCTTTCCGGAGGGTCCACTCTCTCCATGACTCCCTTGTCCACTCCACACTCCCCATCAGCCCCACCACACCCGGCACTTTTCCCTGAAATCGCAGGAAGTGCTACACCTGCCTCTACACCTCCCCCCTCACCCCCATCCCAGGCCCTAAGAAGACTTTCCACATCAAGCAGATGTTCACCTACACATCTGCTAATGTGGTATACTGTATCCGCTGTTCCCGTTGTGGCCTCCTCTACATCGGGGAAGCCAAGCGGAGGCTTGGGGACCATTTTGTGGAACACCTACGCTCGGTTCGTAACAAACAACTGCACCTCCCAGTTGCGAACCGTTTCAACTCCCCCTCCCACTCCTTGGACGACATGTCCATCCTGGGCCTCCTGCAATGCCACAACGATGCCACCCGAAGGTTGCAGGAACAGCATCTCATATTTCGCTTGGGAATCCTGCAGTCCAATGGTATCAATGGGGACTTCACACGCTTCAAAATCTCCCCTCTCCCTACCACATCCCAAAACCAGCCCAGCTCGGCCCTGCCTCCCTAACCTGTTCTTACTCCCACCTATCCACTCCTCCCACCTCAAGCCCCACCCCCATCTCCTACCTACTAGCCTCATCTGCCCCCTTGACCTGTCCGTCCTCCCTGGACTGACCTGTCCCCTCCCTAACTCCTCACCTACACTCCCCTTTACTGGCTCCATCCCCGCCTCTTTGACCTGTCTGTCTCCTCTCCACCTACCTTCCCCTCTATCCATCTTCTATCTGCCTTCCCCTCTCTCCCTATTTATTTCAGAACCCCCTACCCCTCCCCTATTTCTGAAGAAGGGTCTAGGCCCGAAACGTCAGCCTTCCTGCTCCTCTGATGCTGCTTGGCCTGCTGTGTTCATCCAGCTCTACACCTTGTGATCTCAAGGTTTTATCTACTTTTTTTGACTCTCCGAGGAGACTGTGTAAGTAAATTAGGTGAGGGAGGTGGAGTCGAGAACAATGTGTATGGAGAATAAACCAGATCAAAAAGGAATAAGTTCAATGGTCCAGCTGCCCTGTTCTTTCTGATGCATTTGTAAGGCTATTCTTAATTTGGTTTTACTTGTAACATTTCTTCCCTAACTGCCATTTCTATTAATTTAAATACAAATGAAAATTGAGAGAATTACTCAGAATAAGAAATGTGCGGCTGCTCCTTCAATATCACTAGGCCAAAATCGTGGAACTCCCTCCCTTGTGGCATTGTGACTTTATCTACACCAAATGACTGCAAAAGTTCAAGAAAACAGTTCACCACCACTGTCTCCAATGCGACCAGGGATGGATAATAAATGCTGGCCCAGCAGCAATGCCTATATCCCCTGAATTAATTTTTTGAAAACTGATTTGATGTTGGCCATTTTTAAATCGTGCACAGAGTTGAGGTTGTCCTTTAACTTTCCAAATAACACACACCAGAGCCGCTCCCCTTTTTAGTACAGTGGGATAATTCTAATACAAGGAATGCTGCTTTGGTGTGTGAATGCTTTTGCTGTGGCATGTTAATGTAAGTACCCAAACTGAATGTTAAATAAAGCTTCCCCGAGATTTTTAATTGGGTTACTGACAGGTCATAACAGTGGGTTGAAGTTTGCTGTTATTTTTCCTTTGTCTCAGTACGTTTCAGATTCCTACTTTAGATTAATTGAGTGCAAAGTTAACTGAATGTTCAAAGAGTTTAACAGTTATTACATTGAAAATATACTGCCACTTATACCCGATATGAATGCAAATTGGTACCTAAGTTTGACTTTCTATATGTAGCTTAGCTCAGTTGTTCTTTATTAGGCTAACTCACATCATAATTAAAAAACAAGAAAAAAAGCTAAAGCTTATCTTATCTAATTTCAAATCTACTTGAACTGCATAACTTAATATTGATATAATCAACATTTTGTTACCTAAGGATCCAAACTCCCTATTGATAAACAGCTGAATAGGTTTATTTCCTTCCTCAGTGGAAACAGTTTGAGACGACAGAGCAAACTTAACTACCCCATGTGGTTCATCACTGGCCTCCACGGTAAGAACAGCTTTGTATCCTTGGTTGTCAATAATAGCTGCACCTGTTGAGAGAACACCTGCCAAAGAAGAATAAAAAGAGATAATGCTCTTCCTTTATTGAAAATACAAGTTAATTGCAAATATAATTCAGTATCTTTCAGAAACCACACTGACCCACCAGATATATTGTTAGATTACCATAACTCATCTAAGAAACCTACAAGAACAAATCACAGGCAATATTTAGAGAGTGGGGAGTGTCATCTGTAAGATGAAAGCAAGTAAGATGGAGCAAAGATGACACAAGGATAGGTAGGACAGTACTTTGTAAAACAATATAGATAGATCAGATGAGGAAGCAAACATCTGGTAAATGGATTATGACGTAGGAGAATATGAAAGTCAATTTTTATAGGAAGAACAAATAAAGTGTATTGTATAAATGGTGACAGATTGCAGAGCTAAGAGACGCAAAGATGATCTGGATGTCCTGATACATGAATTGCAAAAATGGTAGTATATCAGTACAGCAAGTAATTGAAATATCAAATAGAATGTTATAATTATTCCAATTGGAATTAAATACGAAAGTAGCAGGGTTATGCTTCAGTTAGCAGGACATCAGGGAGAACACATCTAGAGTACTGTGTACAGTACTGATCTCTTTATTTAAGAAAAGATTCAAATGTATTGTAAGTAGTTCAGAGAAGGTTAACTTGACGAGTACCCAGCATGGGAGAGTAGTCTTATGAGGAAAAGTTGGACAGGCTAGGCTTATATCCACTACAGTTTAGAAAATTACGAGGTAACTTAATAAAGATCCAGAAGGATCTTGACAGGGTGAATGTGAATAGGGGACTCCTCTTCTGGAAGAATCTTGTACTATAGGTCCCTGTTTAAAAATTAAGTGGTCACCATTTAAGACACAGTGCTGAAATTCTTCAGAATTCTCTTCTCTTGGAAGTAGAATTCTTGAATATTTTTAAAGCATAAACAGGTAGATTCTTGATAAGTAAGGAAGTGAAAGATAATGGCAGGTAGATGGAAATGTACAGTAATGAGATCAGCAATGATCTTATTGAATGGAGGAGCATACTTGAGGGGATGAGTGGCCTACTCCTGCTCCTTATTCATATGCCCATCATGTAATTACTTGAGTAATTTCCTCAGTTCAATGAAGTAGCAACACTGATAACATGTTTGGAGATTTACATATACTGCACCACCTGACTGTAGCCATTTCAGAGAAAATAAAAGTTGTATTGGACGTAGTTGGCTACTTTGGAAAAGGAAAACAAAGAGAAACAAATTACAAACAAGTTCTAAGACCATGGGAAAGAATAATTTAGGAGGGTGCCAAGGGTGTTAACAAATATTAGGTGAATTTTTCATCATCGCTGAATGGGCAGTAATCAGGCACAGAATATCACTTGCCATTGCAGAAGACACTCAATTTCTTTCAAAGGTATTCATTAGAATGAAAATCAGAGAGATTCTATAAAGCTCCAATATCTGCACCACCACTGAAGAGAAGGTTCATATTTACCTTGCAGCAGGTAAGCCCATTCAAAATTGAAAGTGTAATTTTGCATTATCAACAGGTGGATGATTTCTCAGTTTAGTTAGGACATAGCTGAGCATGTCCTATGCCACTACTAGCTGTTTGTTTTGGCAAATAAGATACTCCAAGTTCCAAGGATTTGGACTAGGATTCCGATGCTGCAGTAACATCTTCCCTACAGGAAATATTAAGTTGGCTCCCAACACCCCCCCAAGCCCACCATTCTCAACTCCAAGCAGACCTACTTCTTTAGCCTGGAGGTCAACCAGACTACCATTTACTGAAGCGCTTCAGAGCTAAAGTATGAGACTGGATCACTCAAAATTCAGCCCCACTGTGCTGTCTTGATACACATGTAATTTGCCCTACAAGTCAAACCAGGCCACCTCCTCAGACCATGACAACACAAAAGCAAAATACTGCAGACACTGGTAATCTGATATCAAATGTTTAAAAAGGCTGGAAAAACTCTGCAAACCATGCAGCATTTGTAAAGACAAACAAATCAATGTTTCGGGTTGATGACCTTTCATCAAAACTGAATGAAATAGAAATCGAAGAGTTTTAAAGCCAGTGGATTAAATGACAAAAGATTTAAGGATTCAACAGCAAAAAGTGAACCACCTTCTGTTTTGTTCATCCTCTCCTATTCAACCTCTTTAGAATCCTTCTTGCAATGATGAATCTTACTCTTTACACACCATCTTTATTTAACAGCCATTAGAATATTGGACTTAATGTTACCTTGAGTTCTGATATTTGATAAAATGATTCTGTATTCCTCCTTTTCTTCAGGAATAACATCATCAAATAGGTGGACGAGAAAAGATGCATTTAAAACACCCTAAAAGGATTGTACACATAATTAGAAAAGAGAGAATACAACAGAAACACAAACAGAAATCATGGCACCAGGTATGGCAAATACTATACCAGGCAGCTTATAAGAGTCAATATATAATGGTAATAAGTACAATGGATTTAAAAGTATTAGTCAGAAAATTATTTGTCAACATTTTATTAGTTCTCTGCAGATGTAACATTATATTCTGCATTCTGTTCTATTACCCTAATGTACTCATGTAAGGTATGATTTGCCTGCATAGCAGTAAAACACTACTTTTCACTGTATCTCAGTACATGTGACAAAAATAAATCAAAACAAATCAGAAGAGAAGACAGTAGGAACTGCAGATGCTGGAGAATCTTAGATAACAAGGTGTAGAGCTGGATGAACACAGCAGGCCAAGCAGCATCAGAGGAGCAGGAAGGCTGACATTTCGGGCCTAGACCCTTCTTCAGTAATGGGGGAGGGGAAGGGGGTTCTGAAATAAATAGGAAGAGAGGGGG